AAGAGCCAGTCCTCCTCCTTCTTCAGCCAGCGCAGCAGCTTGGTGAGGACCCCGATGGCCCCCGCCTTCGTCACCAGCGGGCTGAAGCAGCCGTACAGCTCGAACTTGCTCGTCACCTGTGCCCGGGGAGGGAACCGGCCCCCCCGTTAACTCTGGCCCCTACTGACGGCGTCACCAGCAAGCGTCCCCGTTAACTCTGGGCCCTACTGACGGCGTCGCCAACGAGCGTCCCCGTTAACTCTGGGACCTACTGATGGCATCACCGGCGAGAGTCCCCTGTTAACTCTGGCCCCTACTGATGGTGTCACCAGTGAGCGTCCCCATTAACTCTGTCCCCTACTGATGGCGTCGCCAGCGAGAGTCCCCTGTTAACTCCGGCCCCTACTGAAGGCGTCGCCAGTGAGCGTCCCCGTTAACTCTGGCCCCTACTGATGGCGTCGCCAGCGAGAGTCCCCTGTTAACTCTGGCCCCTACTGACAGCATGGCCAGGGAGAGTCCCTTGTTAACTCTGGCCCCTACTGATGGCGTCGCCAGCGAGCATCCCCGTTAACTCTGGGACCCACTGATGGCATCACCAGCAAGCACCCTGATTAAGTGGTGGTGCTCCCAGTGAGTGCCCCTGTTAACTCTGAAACCTACTGAGCGCACCGCAAGTGAGCGCCCCTGTTAACTCTGGGACCCACTGATGGTGCTGCTGGAGAGCACGCCCGTTAACTCTGGAACCTACTGACAGTGCCAGCTGGCACCCCCGTTAACTCTGGAACCTACTGATGGCACTGCCAGCCGGCACCCCCGTTAACTCTGGAACCTACCGACAGAGCCATGAGCGAGCACCCCCGTTAACCCTGGAACCTACTGACAGAGCTATGAGAGAGCACTCCCCGTTAACCCTGGAATCTATTGATAACCCTGCCAGCCAGCACCCCTGTTAACTCTGGAACCTACTGACGGCTCCTTCCCCCACCCTGACTCACCCAGGCCAAGAGCGTCTCCTTCTCGGCCACGTGGTAGAGGAGGCGCAGGGGCCGGTGGGGGCTGTGCACGCGGCTGTGCAGGTAGTGGTACAGGTCGAAGAGGCGGTGTTGCTCCTCCTCGCTGGTGTAGGGGTCCTCCAGCTCGGGGCTGAACCCGGGGATGCGGGCGT